ACAGGGACTGGTGGCCCCTAACACAGGGCAGACACCAACCATAGCCTTCCCTTCCCTTTCAGTGCCTGCAAAGCATCCATGTAGGCAGCCAGCATGGGCAGACTCAAGGTCTCCACCAGGGTCGTGTGCAGCCACTGGATCATCTTGGTGTCCCAACTCTCACTGGCCAGGGCCTGCTGCACCTGCCTTGCACACTTGTCTACAGCTACATGATTCAGCACTGGCTCATTACAAGCCTGAAAAATACAAGAAGAAGGAACAAGAGTTCCAATAGTTAGCAAATAGGAGGTAGGTAGAAATCAGTCAGTCATAGAGGCCTGAACTAGGAAGAGCCCACATTGGCAGATTTCTGATTTCTTACCCCTTCGTTGGCCAAGCGGGCAAGTTGGTCAGACTGCAGGGCTTTGAGGATCTTGTTGAATAGTGTGTTCTGGGCCACTGTCCAGTCAGTCCTAAAGGGAATATCTGAGAAATTATGGACATACCCTAGGGACACTCCTCATGTATGCACAACATTTAAGGAAAACTCTGTAATCTTTTTTGATCCCCTTCTGAAAGAGTATAACTTGACACAAGATTCTGTTCCCAATCCTGGCAATGAATCATCTCAGCACACATATGTATATTCTCACCTACAAGTCAATACCAGTCAAAGATGAAGTCTTTTAGTGCTACCAAAGCTACTTATTTATCTAATAGCTAAAATACACTAGCAAATGAAGATAGGGTACCAGCGTATAGAGAAAATTGAATTGCATAGGTTGTACATTTCACAAAACCTGAAACAGCAAAGCATTTCAGCAATCAGCGTCTGCAGAGGAGGCTTCTCCAGGCACCTCCAGCTCCCTCCCTCCTGCCTGTGGGTGGCTCCCTTTTGACTCTGTTTCCTAATCAGCAGGCGTATCTACAGCCTCAGCTTCAGAGGTGACAGTGCCAACCTGAGCCCAGGAGGGTTTCTCCATCAGACTCTGTCCCCTGACCAGGCGTTATGGTGTTATGGGGCAGACTGCTTGGGAAACATACCAGGTCCACTTTGTCTGAATTGTAGAGTATTTATTTAGCTGGCCAGCCGGCGACTACTCCCCACAGGACCCATAAGTGTTTCTGCAGGGAACAGCATCATCGAGCTTGAGCATTTCAGGTTCTTTAAAGGCAAAAACCACATCCAGGTTGATGTAGCTGCAAGCAAGCAGGGGTACAGAAGCTGAACTGGGCAGTTAGTGGACAGTGCAATGGGTATGTTGGTATTCCCACAGGACTTTCCAGGTTGGCATAGCAGCAAGCAAGCAGAAGGGAAGTGGGTCAAAATGACCTCAGTTGAGTACTAGTTAGAGAATGGTTACCAACGTCCAGACAATCCTCCTCTGACAGGGTACATTGTCCAAGAAAAAACGGGAACCAAGAGAGAACAATTTTACGTTGTATAATGTCGCCAAACATGCTACGAACATGCTACACTAAGCCACTATTGATAGGCACAGAGGCTGTTGTTCCCATGGGGGAAGCATTTCTTAATGACAGGGAGTCTTGGGGTAAGATGGAGTCTGTTCGGTCCTTGCCCATATAGCCTGGCCCATAACGTTGGCAGAAAGTCCTCAGGTGTGTCGGAATTGCCGAGAGTCAGTGCCAAGACTGATTTTGTGGCCGGCAGAGGGAGTGGTCAAGGTTGTTAATTGTACAACAATGTTTCCTGGAGGGAAATCAAAGTCAAGGCAAGCTGCCAATGTGGCCAGGTCCTCGGGCTGCCACTGAGCAGGGGTCAGCAGGTGGCCATGCTCCCCTCAGGTCCACTGTTGGACGAATGAACACAGCAATAGACACAGGCACCGTGCTTTGAGTTTGGGTCTGCGTGGTTCTGAGAATCCCACTCTTTCCTGCGTACTGGCTGGTCACACGAGAAGGACTCAGGACTCACCTGTCTCAAAAGAGGACTACTCATCAATATGAAGTGCTTTGAACAGTGTTTTGAAGAAAAAAGTTTCTTATAATGGAAGAAAACAGTTGCAGTCACTATGAACACCAGCTGAAGCCCTGTGACTACCAGAACTCCTTCACAGGAGCCCTGGATTGCTGTCTTTTGCAGTAGCCAGGGCTACAGCTAACCCAAGCTGAGGTCAGTCTGCCCCTGTGAACCTGGTACCACGCACCATTCTCCAAAGCACACAAAGACAGCAAGTCATCTTTCCAGCCAGCAAGATCCTGCCTACAGCCAATGGCCTGCCCTTTCTGCAGAAGGTGGGGAGTTCCTAGGGCGAAGTCCATGCTGATGCCCCAGCCCCTAAGCACCTGGACCCCTTCCTCCAGGTACACAAGGTGGGCAGCTTATCTACTGGGGCCACTTTTGGGCCCACACTTCAGCCCAAGGGGTTAGAGACTTCGCTAACCCTTTGAGCTACACAGGAAGTCCAGAGTCTGCTCAGAGGGCTCATATTGGTCAATTTCACCTACTCCGACTTTCTGATTCTATGTCCCTAAAGCCATTATTCCACCCTGGTTTTTCATGTTTGATGTTTTCAGGGCTACAAATGGAACCCGGGGCCTCGCGGTTGCGCGTCAAGCCTCTGCCACTGAGCTACACCCCAGGACCATTATCCTACACATGTTCCTTGATGTCTGCTTGCATGAAGTGGAAAAAATCATTTAGTTCTTTGGGAGCACAGCGAACCTCCTCCTGGGGCACAGTTTGGGGGTCTGCTGGGACTTTAGTTATGGATACAGAAGCAAAAAAGGGTAGTGGGGTGGGTTGGAGGATCAGCAGCCTTGGAAGGCTGCTCTTGGGGAGGGCACTGGGAACGAGGCCAGCCTTCCAGCGGGCACCAAAGGGCTATTTCTCCACTGGCAAAGGAGTCTCAGCAGGGTTTGGGGCTCAGTGTCCCCATTTCCCTCAGGATCTGCCCATATGGCTCCAGTCCAGTGTGCAGAATCCCATTTCCTCCCAATCAATGCTCTCATTGTAACAGAAGCTGTTCTATGAGGTTGGGAATTAAATTTACATTATAATTCAGTCACTCGCAGGAAACTCTGGGTATGGTTTTCAGAAATCTCAGCTCTGTGGCTAAAGGAGATAAGATTTTTTTTTTACAGGAAAAAAATCAGATTTTAATTTCTTTATGTAATGTTTCCTTTGGGAATCCAAATCCCTGAGTTCAGCCTATTTCTCTTCCCCCAATTTTTGACTGTGGTTAGTGATAACCAAAAAATTCCTCTAAGGCTCTTTGGTTTGTCTAAAATCTTCTAAGGCAGTGAATGCAGTTTCACTCAGAATCTTGCCTTCTTTAGGCACTCTGGTGGAGAGCATCCACTGGCAATATTCTGATTCTCTCTAATGCCAGAATCTACCAGTGCCCTCTTCTCTCCAGCACAGAATCATTAGTGCCTTTAAGTCTGATCATAGAGAGCCAATCCATACAATCCATATTCAGTTGAAAACATCCACCTTCATTCTCCTCTCACACCATTTCCACTAGTAAACCTGCATTAGGCTCTAACCAGAGCAGTCCTCCGCACTAGGCGACTCGGTGCCCTGGATTCACTTCCACAAAGAGGGGCTGTCCACGCAAGTCGAGTCCTGTGGGGAAGCTGGTCAGGGAGGGGAGGGCTCTGTAAAGTTGCTGTCCTTCAGACCTCTCAGCTGACTGAATCAGGCCACCAGGTGTATGTAGGACTTTCTCCCTACTTGGGAGTCCGCTGATGGTGGACGGAAGTCACACTAGAAAAATATCTTCCAGCAAAGCTGTGGTAGCACTTGGCTGAGCAACTGGAACTGCCATGGAGCCAGAGTATGCCCTAGAGACCCGCACAGCCTCCAATCCCCCAGATCCACACTCTTGGATGTCGCCTCCTCGCTGTTGGATAGAGAAGGTTTTTTTTCAATCGTGGCTAAAATTCTGCAGTTTGAAATGTCCTCTGTTAACTTTTAACTGGCATCCTGATAGAAGTCGTGGCAGGTATTTGAAATGTGCAAATATAGACGCATATAAGAAAAGGAGTATCATTTCAGCTAAAATAAACATTACATCCTCAGTTAACTTGTAGATAGATGGGTTTTGAATACGGTGTGTGTGTGTGTGTGTGTGTGTGTGTGTGTGTGTGTGTGTG